AAGTAAAATTTTCTCACAAAAACGACTCCAGAAGCTACTGTAGCGTATTTATAAGTATATTTTAAAAAAATTTGTTCCTACATTATTTTTCTATGCATTGACTCGTTGGGTCATCTACACTACAATATGCCCTTTAAGGCCTTTGCGACGTTAAATTGCGAAAATCTTGAGTTTTCGTCGAAGGGCGTGTCCTCGGTGGCCTGACAAATTTCGATGTTTCGCCATGAAACAGGAAGTTGCTGTAACTCAGGCAAACAATGTCCAATCTGCCCCAAACTTCACACGTTTGACAAGAATTCTGTCCTTAACACATCTCCATGTTCATATTCAGTTACAGTCTAGCGCTACCTGCTGGCAACAGGAAGTGACATGTTTAACACTGTTGTGGACTCCTAATAACATATAAAAAAGTGCAAGCAAGTGCTAAACATACTAGCAACATAATAGAGACAGGCTAAAACAAGCTAGCAAAAACACTTACGCCAAGTTCAGACTGCACGATTTTCAAAGTAGTCAGGTCGCTGCTCTTTTCACACTGCATGACTATCTTGGCCAGTATTCAGTCGCTGCTGTGTCCACACAGCACGATGGATCGGCGACAGAAGGTTTCACACTGCATGACTTTACAATAGGAAAAATCGCTGACAATTCCGTCTAGCATGCTGCGCGCAAACTACGTTTCACAACAAACACACGTGAGATGTGACAAGGAAACAACAACGCAACATCACACGTGCTAGACCGGAGTTCTCACGTGAGGCTTTTTTCTTTTTCGACCCGGTTGTGATACAGCTCAGATGAAACGTCAAATGGGTGCTCCTGCCAAATTTCTACTACTTTTTCTTCCATTTCCCTCGATCCAAATAGACCGAGAAGAAATCTTTTTCTGAAACAATCCCATGCATGTTGATATCCCAGACAGCAAACTGACATTGAATCAACGTGGAAACGACGTCTCTCATGACATTGAAACAACGTTGATTTTGCTCATCGAATTAACGTTGAACCAACGTCAGACGCGGCATTCTTCAAAGCTAAATGAAAATCGAAAATTGGTTTGCTTTCATAACGTTGAAACAACGCGTTGATTTCAAGTTGATTTTCCGTTAGTTTTGAATGAATGACGCGTCTGACGTTGGTTCAACGTTAATTCGATGAGAGGAAAACAATGTCAGATCAACGTTGTTTCAATGTCATATTTCCACGTTGATTCAATGTCAGTTTGCTATCTGGGATGTGATCTATAACTCCTCCCCGAACTCCCCGCTGCTTTGTATCTTGCTCTCTCACTGGCTGTCGGTAATCACCGATGTAGTTTTTAGTCAAAACACTTTTCACACAGCAGGATTTTGAATCGCCGATAGGTCCAGATATTTAGCATGCCAAATATTTCACCGGTGTCGGCGTCTCATCGGCGATTCTCTCAGATCACGTCTTTGCTCATTCACACTGCGCGATTGTCACTCGCGTAAACGAGTGCCGATTTGCCTGTGATTTCGAGCATTTGTCGGCGATTTCTCAAAACTGTCGGCGAGCCAAAATTGTGGCTAAAATCGTGCAGTCTGAACTCGGCATTAGCTAAGTGCTAAAGCATGCTATTACTAACATTAAATGGGAATTTGCTGTAACTCAGGCATGGAATATCCAATCTGCCCCAAACTTCACACGTTTGATAAGAGTCCTGCCCTTAACACATCTACATGAGACTATTCAATTATAGTAATAGTGCCACCTACTGATAACCGGAAGTGACATGTTTAACACTGTGATGCAGTCCTAGCAACATATTAAATATGTCATTGAGTTCTACATGCTAGCAATTATTAGCTAAGTGCTAAACTATTGTAATGCAATGAAACAGGATGTTGATGTTACTCAAGAAGACAAAGCCCAATCTGCACCAAACTTCACACGTTTGATAAGAGTCCTGACCTGAACAACTCTACATGTTAATTTTCAGTTAAAGTAATAACGCCACCTACTGGTAACAGGAAGTGACATATTTAACAGTATGATGCAATACTACAAACATATTAAATATGACATTGAGTTCTAAGCATGCTAGAAACATGTTAAAACATGATAGTAACACTTATCTGACTGAAAACGCATGCTATTATCCCACTAATAGCGGACATTTCTGTAACTTACTTTGACATACTCCACCTATATTTACCTACTTAAATGCACACTTCCCACCAAGCTCTGTCTTCCTAAAGCCACCGGGTGGCAAATGGCACGGGTGCGAGCGCCCTTTCATTGCTGCTTGCAGCTTAAATTTATTTGTTATTTTACTGTAAGTTATATGGTAATACATAGTTTTAATATCCAAAAACACACACACATTTGACAGTATTTTACAGTAAAATTACATAATGTGAAGTTAAACATTTTTTAATAAGCGTTTTACTGTAGCATTTTTACTGTAAAAAGCAGTTTTATTTCTGTAAAAATTACTAACATATTTTAAAATGAGTGATGCTTAATGGTACCTACGCCATATACTCTACATCATAGATATCACATCACATATATATTGCCATCAAGGTGATATTGAATAAAATGTGATTTCAGATCACATTGACATTCAAAGATATAGTTGAGAGCATTACTGGATTCATTTTTAACAAACATTCAAGTTCAAAATAAGGAACAAGAGATAATTTGGGGATTTGAAGTTTTCTGACTGGTACATGTCTCATCAACAGATTTTTCCTAATTGATAGTAATTTACAATATGCTGCTTATGGTGAAAGGTACAAGACAATGGAAGTAAATTACGCACAATATTTACAGAGCACCTGACCGGCCATAAAACCTGCAATATTCTCACAGAGGAAATACAAATTTTCCATTGCAAGTGAGCATTAGAAAAAAAAGAACTACATATATTACGTGTGTGATATGATCGTTTTTGTCCTAGGCGAGGGGTACTGAGTTGTCACCTCAACTTCCTTTTTGTCTGATATTTGAAAAGAGTATGGTGACTATCACACTGTCTGTGTAAATAGGGAAGTGGTGACAGAAACTCAGTACACCATGTGATGTTACCCAACCCCCCAAGCTTTCGGTCATGAAACAGAAAGTAGCATGCTGAAGGGGATATCCAATATCAATTTCTTATATCTACATCTGAGTCTTATAAATCAGATGATATTTTTAATTGCAAAGAAAAGTCCCTAGAACTTTGCAATGAATGCCTGATTTGTTTGAAACATATAGAGCAATATATCATAAGCATATAACATAAGTGACATCAACAAATCTTTCTTAGAACTAACTTTTCTGAACCATGAAATTTCCATTTTGGAAACTTTTTTTCATAAAACAGAATTGTTTTACCATTTAAGACCATAAAAACACATTTTTGTGAAATATGTTTGGTTTACAATATTTCGATAGTCCACTTTAGACATTTTATGAAGTATAAGTAACTTTGTAACTACATGCCAACTACAACTCTCATTAGAGCAGTTGATATCAAACTTTTTTAGTTTCCATTGTCCACAACAATATTTGAAGTTAAAATCAAATATTTTAGTTATTTTTTTTATTGTTTTAACTTATTTTAATACTTGTTTTGTCTTATTTTAAATAACTGTAAGTCCTTTTGAGCCCCCCGGCCCCTTGGTTGACACTATTAGTAGACTCTTAGGGTAAGTTTACACAACGATGATGTACAGTAGTAGAAACGTAAAAGTTTTCTTTTGCGAATTCCGAGTACAGGCGGCAACGTTGTCAAAATGACCCCCGTTCACACGAATCCACGAAAACAACTAAAAACGCGGTATTCTGCTGCCTGGCCAGTAGTTGGCGATGTCACTTTGTAAAGAAACACTACGCGCCTATAGACCGAACACGTAACACGCACGCATGATATCACGGTTTTCCCAAATTCAGATTTTTTTTGTATATCACACTGAGAGGATAAAGGCATAATTTTCAAAAACTTGCACTTTTGTAAACATCACGTTTCCCGAAAATGCCATTGTCGTGTGTATGTACGACCAAAATGCATAATAAGTTTTCGCTTTTTAGTTTATTTAGTTAAACGGAGTCATGAAAACAGCCCCTTATGTTACAACTGTTAAGGGGGTCACAAACCGGCGAGAAGCGCAGCGCCACGTCGCGCATCGCCACGTCTTTAAAATTCGAACACGTTACTCTCTATGAGTGTACACACACCGGCGGCGCCATTCGGCATCTGTCCGCGGCGCCCAGCGACGGCTCAGGACCGTGTTCAAAACCCTGCTGCGCCACAGAGCACCATTTACATAGTTTTATATAAAATTTTTATTATTTTTGTCTCAAATCGTTGCTGATGTATCCTGACTTCGCCCTATGCTGCAATTTTACACTTAGTTTTGCATTCATTTACAGAAATCAGCTGCTTGAATGACAATTGCTGATGTCATTGGATTTTTCAGGTGAGATTCTCAATTCATTCAGTGAACGGATGCTCTGAGGTAAAGTTTTCAGACTGCAGACTCAACAACGATTGTATTTAATTGTACAGTACAATCATAACATAGAACAGACATTATCTTCATTTCCTGTCATTAAACATTACAATATTGCTGGCCATGCACTGATGAGAAAGTGTGCGTCCGGTGTGCGATACCTGGAGTTGTCCTAGACGCGACACGGTGCGGCACTGCGCTTCTCGTCCATTGTGTGACCCCCTTTAGGGTTCGTGTTGGTAGAATAAGTTGACATGCAGTTGCAAAGTTACTTATAGTCAGTAGAACATCTGTAGCGAAATAATCACAATAAAGTGTCAGCAGATATTAGGAAAAGTTTATAAATACTCTAATGACTGGTAGCTGACATGGAATTCCAAAGCTATGTATAGAAAGTCTAAAGTGGACTATCAAAATAAAGTGTTACCATTTTGCTCCTTCCTTTAAAATAAAGGACTCGGTTCAGAATCTAATGCAGTGATATTTTAATACATTTTTGAATGTTGAATGTAAATTTTCCCCAAAACAATAACATACAACTTTCTATTTGCAGTCGTGTTTATTAGGTTATTTATTGGCTCTTAAATATTGATATCCAGTCAACCTGGACAACCAACCTTTTTTTTCAATAGAAAGAATTCAGTGGTATTGTGATGAATCCAGGAATTACAAGGCTTTTTTAAAATATTTGTTGGCCTGATTGAGAAATATCCAACTGAGGAAATCTAGACAATTTGAGATAGTTAGGTGTGTTATACAGATTATTGTGAGAATATCCCATCAGTTCCCCACTGCGCACACAAAAACAGTCGGATTTACATTTACTCTGTACATTGTGTGTCCATGAATCATGTCATGTCACATGAAATTGTTCATATTATGTCATTAGTATTCCCAAGTCATCTCATACCAACCAGATATGACACTTATCCAGAATTGAAAATAATGAAAGTTAAATAAGGTCCATATGGCGTTCCTGTGGTTGCAGCACGTTTCAGATCTCCAGTGGTTCATCACAGGTGAGCTTCACAGAAGGCTCATTTGTCTTTGTGTATCCCACAGCCGTGTGGGACACAATAGAGCAGTGTAACACGGCACATACGTATATAAACAGTAGCTTATTCAAGCTTTTATGTGGATCGCAATGTTCAGTGCAACCTGAGTCCAGGCCTACATATTGACAAAGCCTGATTGTCCATTGCACCAACAGTCCCAAAGATGTGTTTGAAGTCCTACAGTCCTTCATTTACAATGCTCTCAGACCTTAATCCTATGCGAGACGGATTCCAGGAGGGATCTGTACATGTCCGAGCGAAGGAACCTGGGATAGGAATCCCTCTCCATAAGACCAAAGACAATCTTCTGAGCCTCATCGAAACACACTCTAGTTGGAGCTTGGACGTTCTGCTTGATAAGGTCTCTCGTGACGTGGTCGATGTTTATCTGAGGAGAGATTGACGGAGAAGCAGTGAGAAGCATATTGACGTTGATCGATTGCTCCATCGCTCAATAAAACCACATAGAGATCTTCAGACTGTGCTTGTGTGCTTACCTCTTTGGGAGCTTCTGCCTTGATGAAATGCTCAAATATCTTGTTGGCCCTTGAGGATAGCCTGGACGAACACCTGATTTTTTTGAAGTCTTCACAAACCAGCCAGAATTCAATGTTCTCATCGCTGAACTCGGACTTGAGGAAGGTGTGGAATGTTGCCATGCCATCTACAAGAACAAACCGCGGGGTTAATCTGTGGCTCAATGCAAATGCATCAGTTTTGCGTCAGTGCAGCAGCATGTGTTTGGACACCTAAATGCCCCTGAATAACTGTATTTCATTGTATTAGATACAAAATATAACAAATTATAAATTACAAATTACAAAGTATAACAAATATCAAGTGGCAGCTGCAAAAAAAAAGTGCTTTTCTGAGAGCAAATGCTTTTACAAGCAATTTTTAAAATGACTTTCAACCCAGCCCGTTCTCATCCTTTAACGTCATATAGAACGCTATATGCAAAAACGGTGCTATACTACGCACATGGCACCCTTTATCGTTAATATAACACGCGAACCCAAGACGTCATAAATCCTTTAGCGTAAATATATGACACGAAGACCCTACGCCACACTTAAACTTAGCCATCACAGCGCGTGTTATATTAACGATAACGGGCGCCATGTGCGTAGTATAGCGCCGTTTTTGCATATAACGTTCTATATGACGTTAAAGGATGAGAATGCGTTGTTCAACCAGCTGGTGCCAAGGTGATCCTTCTTTGTAATATTAATCTTGGCTTGATATTGAAATAAATTCTTTGGTTTTAAGATAAAAAAAAGATGTATGTATGCATAAATTGTTTCTAATATACAAACCGAAAGCCAAAAAGCAGCTTTAGTTTTACGTATAAAAACTATTTGGATTTCGTAATATATCAATGTTATTGAGCTATTTTTTGAAAGAAGTCTCTTATGCTCACCAAGGCTATGTTTATTTGATCAGAAATACAGTAGTATTGTGAAATATTATTTCCATTTAAAATAACTGATTCAGTTTTATTATATCTTAACTCATTCATATTCTAACTTATTTCTGTGACGCAAAGCTGATTTTCAGCATCATTACTCCAGTCTTCAGTGTCACATGATCCTTCAGAAATCATTTGAATATGCAGCGCAGTCTCACCCCAAAATTCATATAACTGACGTTTTGGGACATCTTTTGACCATACGTCAATATTCGCCTTTTTAGGGCCCCCTTAAACGTCGGTAGATGAGGTTCTGGGATCCTAACTCTACCCCAGACCTAAACCTAACCCTAAACCTAACTGACGTTAAAGGTAAAGCGTCAGTTTTATGACGGCCCGGGATTGCCATCTACCGACATTTAAGGGGGCTCTAAAAAGGCGAATATTGACGTATGGTCAAAAGACGTCCCAAAACGTCAGTTATATGACCTCTTGGGATGAGAATGTCTTGGAATATGCTATAGTTTATGGTTTTTGATGGCAAAAAAGTTACAGTAAACAGAAATTATATACCCAGCTGGCATTTTAATGTCGAGTCACTGTTGAATCAACGCAGGTGCCAGTGTTGGATAACCGTTGAATTTTGAGGTTGTAGCCTACAAATAATGATGATTTGACGTACAACTCATAAATTGTTGATATTTCTATGTTGAATCCATAATGAGTTAACAACACCACTTCAACTATATGGTGTTCAACATTGTTTTGATGTTGAATTCATGTTTTTTCATAAACTGACATTACAACATTTAAACATTTAATGTCAGCGCTATGCAATATATATATATATATATATATATATATATATATATAAAATGGAAAAAGGCAAACATGACTTGTATATGAATATATATATTCTTATATTTAAGATATATATTCTTATAATTAAATATATTTATGTTAAATTTCTGTGTGTAGCTTAAGTTTTTATAACTTTGTATAACTAAAACTGCTTTTCTCTGTTGCTTTGCATACATATAGTTAGTTCCTTGATCCAGCTATCTGACCATCTAGGGAACAGTGCAGGTTTTGTTCGTGTAAATTTGCCTTTTCCTACATGACGTCAGCAAAATCCACAGACATGTGTGCACAATATCAAGCGTATTAAATTTGATGCATTCATTAATATGAACTATAAGAATACCAGTATGAGAATTAATGCATGCATATGCCACTTACATTTGGATCTAAGGAGGTTTTCCAATGACTGGGACCACAGCAGGGTCTCACCAGGGTTCAGTCTGTTTGAATAAATCATAATTAGTGTACATTCAAACACAATCAACAGTTGATTACAATTGTGATTATATATTTTACAAGAAAAAAGTAAAGTCAAAGCAGCTTACTTTTCTGTCAATGGACAACGAAACCGCCACTTGTCTAGTCTCCTGAGGAGTGAGAATTAGTTTAGTTAAATTTCTAAGACAAATGCTACAAATCCATGATATATTCTGTTTACATACATTTTAAAAAGTAACTACTACAACAAACGCCACTCACCGGGGATTGACTGTTTTATCCTCCTGGTTCATGTTTTTAATTTCAGTTGAAGATGACAATATGGTTGGCATCTTAACAAAAACTTTTCTGGTGTTAATACGTGTTGCTGTGCTGTTGGGCTTCAGATATTTCAGTTAATAAGAGCGGGCTGTTCTGACAACCCTTTTTATGCAGTATTGGCGTCATCAGCATAGAATCATCTAACCACAAAAGAAAAAAAAAGAGAGAGGAAGTTTTTGGTGTGACGCTAACTAGCTGAGACAGGCGCAATGGTGTTTCTGTCTATGAAACCAGCTACAGCAGGTCTGTGCAGATGCAGATATGCAAATCAGACTGGAAAGTTCATGGACAGATAAGCAAATGCTGACTTTTACATCAGATCTTTTTACAAGCTTCTGTATTTGTATTTATAAAACAAACCATGGCTGTTCACAAACCATGTGGCGTACTTCAGGAAATAACCAAAAAAAAAAAAAAAACTACCAAAATGTGTTTAAAATACGTTTATTTCATACTAAGAATACAACAAATCCATTAACATATTTACTGACATACCGCTCGAGACTTACTGAAATAAATATTAATTAAACTTTATTTGGAGTTCTTCTTTATTGCACAATGTGAAAAATTTTACCAAAAGTATAATTGCACCTAAAGTAATAGTTCACTTTAGCGCAATCAAATATACTTAAGTATATCTTTAGTTGGTCCTCAGCGCTATTTCTGGATAACTAGAACAAAATTAGTCGTTCCAATTTAGCAGACTAATTAGTACACTAAAAGTACAATTGCAAGGTTTTTACATTTTGTAGGCTTACATAAATATGTAAATGTATAGCAGCCTATACTTAGCATAAAATAAATGCATTTCAAATACATTTTAGTATATTTATTTTTCACAAGGGCACGTCAAACATTTTTTAATTAGATGAAAAAGGGCCCACAATATAGTTTTATAAGACCTCTCGAATGTTAATAGGGGTTGTTTACATGATAGCCTACCGTTTTCAACTAAAAACTTTTGTGTTTTGATCGTTCATTTACACGACAACAGTCCTGAAAACTCAAGCTTGTGAAATCGGGTTTCAAAGTGCAAATTTTTGAAGACGATACCGCTATTGTCTACGTGTAAACTACAAAAACTCAAATTTGTGAAAACGGTGAAGTCATGCGTGTGTTATGTGTTCAGGCGCGTAGTGTTTCTTAAGTGACATCCCCATCTACTGGGCTGAGTTTTTAGTTGTTTTCGTGGATCCGTGTGAGCGGGGATCATTTTGACATTGAAGTTGTCTGTAGCTACACAGAAAAGAAAAGGAAAAAACTTTTCATTTTTTAGTTTTTTTATAAACTTACCCCTAGTAATAGGAATCCGGTGATATCTTCTTCTAGCTAATCAAAAGTGCTTTTCTTAAGCATTTAGCGCTATGCTAGCTATGCTAACACAAAAAGAAAGGAAAATGTTTGGTTGTGCACTGATGCCATTCCTGTGGACCAAATGTAGGCCTATACTTATTTACCATATTCCCTACATAGCTAATGCCATTTATGTGCATGTATGAATTAGGTAATATTTTTTTAAATTCAACTTTCTGCAAAAACTCGGTAAGTTGTGTTATCCGAAGTTTTAATCTTAATGATTATCTGTACTCAGTAAGGAGCTCCACCATAGTTAGTAAAGTGGTAACATTAACCGATAGTTAGCTAATACCTGGAGTTGCAGGGACATTTGCTTGTGGTTCATAAGAAATATGATTTTGTAGAAAATCAAGAAAATTGTAAAATGCTTGAGGGGTTTTTGCTGAGGAAAATAATGTACCGTCAAATGCAAGCCACTGTAACACAGCAGAAAGCCCCATTCAAGTTAACAGTTTCACTTCTGTTTTTGATGTTTTCTGAGACTTCATTTGTTTACCTATACAGATATACAGTGAAGAAAATAAGTATTTGAACACCCTGCTATTTTGCAAGTTCTCCCAAATCATGGAGGGGTCTGAAATTGTCATCGTAGGTGCATGTCCACTCTGAGAGACATAATTAAAAAAAAATCCAGAAATTACAATATTTGATTTTTTAACTATTTAATTGTATGATACAGCTGCAAATAAGTATTTGAACACCTGTCTATCAGCTAGAATTCTGACCCTCAAAGACCTTTTACTCTGCCTTTAAAATGTCCAACTCCACTTCATTTATTATCCTAAATTAGATGCATCTGTTTGAGGTCATTAGCTGCATAAAGACACCTGTCCACCCCATACAATCAGTAAGAATCCAACTACTAACATGGCCAAGACCAAAGAGCTGTCCAAAGACACTAGAGACACAATTGTAAAATGTGTAAAACACAATTAGAAAATGTAAGAAGGTAAACATGACTGTCAATGGGGTCTCAATGATCCTAAGAAAGGTGAGAAATCAGCCCAGAACTACACGGGAGGAGCTGGACAATGACCTGAAAAGAGCTGGGACCACCATTTCCAAGGTTACTGTTGGTAATACTGAGTCATGGTTTGAAATCATGCATGGCACGGAACGTTCCCCTGCTTAAACCAGCACGTCAAGGCCCGTCTTAAGTTTGTCAATGACCATTTGGATGGTCCAGAGAAGTCATGGGAGAAAGTCATGTGGTCAGATGAGAACTTTTTGGTCATAATTCCACTAACCATGTTTGGAGGAAGAAGAATGATGAGTACCATCCCAAGAACACCATCCGTACTGTGAAGCATGGGGGTGGTAGCATCATGCTTTGAGGTGTTTTTCTGTAGATGGGACAGGGCGACTGCACTGTATTAAGGAGAGGATGACCAGGGCCATGTATTGCAAGATTTTGGGGAACAACCTCCTTCCCTCAGTTAGAGCATTGAAGGTGGGTTGAGGCTGGGTCTTCCAACATGACAATGACCCGAAGCACAAAGCCCGGATAACCAAAGAGTGGCTCTGTAAGAAGCACATCAAGGTTCTGGCGTGGACTAGCCAGTCTCCAGACCTAAACCCAATAGAGAATCTTTGGAGGGTGCTCAAACTCTGTGTTTTTCAGTGACAGCCCAGAAACCTGACTGATCTAGAGAAGAAGATCTGTGTGGAGGAGTGGGCCAAAATCCCCTCCTGCAGTGTGTGCAAACCTGGTGAAAAACTACAGGAAACATTTGACCTCTGTAATTACAAAGGCTACTGTACCAAATATTAACATTGATTTTCTCAGGTGTTCAAATACTTATTTACAGCTGTATCATACACATAAATAGTTAAAAAAAAATCATACATTGTTATTTCTGGATTTTTCCTTTAGATTATGTTTCTCACAGTGGACATACAATTACATGTGCGATGACAATTTTAGACCCCTCCATGATTTCAAAGTGGGAGAACTTGCAAAATAGCAAGGTGTTCAAATACTTACTTTCCTCACTGTATATGCAAAAAAAAAGAAAAAAAAAAAAAAGAAAAGAGGTTTGATTAATGGATGGATTCATGTAAAACAGCAACACAGCAACACATCTGGTACGTGGATTCAACAACCCATACCAGATGTGGGCCCGATCTGGGCTGAACTATGTTGCTGTCTGGGAAGTAACTAAAACTTATTGAGACCATGTAAATATATTTTTAAATCCATTTAAGCAATATATATTTAATTTTTAATCATTGGAAATATATTTTAAAAATATATGGATACACTTTATTAGGTAGACCTTGCTTGTACCGGTTTGTATGCAAACACTGTGGTCATAAGGAGATGGAGATGGTCAGCAACAATCCCCAGGTCATGTCATTTGGTGCAGAGGGACCCAAAGTGTGCCAAGAAAATATCCTGCACACCATTAAACCAACACCAGCAGCGCCAGCTGTACTGTTCATACAAGGCAAGATGAATCCATGCTTTCATGTTGTTCATGCCAAATTCTGTCCCAACCCTCTGTTTCGCCTCTTGCCTCGACTCGTGCCTGTATATCAATACGTAATCTGTTCCCTCTTTTTAAGCCTCCCTGAGTTGTATGTCTTCTTTCCTCTGTTTCATTATCTGTGTTAATAAACTACTGCAGATGGATCCGACTGAATCCGCCTCTTCGTCTCAATATACAGTATAGTATTTTTTCCAGTATCTTTCAGATTTAGAGCCTACTGTTACTACTGTAAAACAAACAAGGAAATATGAAGGAAATATGAGATGTATATCATGAACAACTCGCACACTTCAGTTTCTGCATATTCATATTCAAAAGCAATTTGCTTGCTTCAAAGCACCTGTTGTATACATGTTACAGATTATTAGAGCACCATGTTTCCAGAAAAGTTGTGCTTGTGTTTGAATCCTTAATCTATGCGAGTTCAAAAATACAAAAATTTGATGCAAAATGTGTGGAGAACATAATAATTAAGGCTTTATTAATAAAACATTCACACTGAGGGACAGTCAAGGCCTTCAGATGCAACCATGTCTGAAACAATCAGAATGACACAGTTTTCATTTCAGAGTAGGTCAAACTTTAAGTGAAACAGCATCTACAGAACAACACATTTTATTTACACAATGCATTATGTGTCAGAGTGAAACACGATATTTAATATGAACAGGTGGAGCAGGTTTTTCAACCTGGTCCCTGGTCTTTAGCTACAACAGCTATTTGTCTATTAATTAATATTATTTCCCTGCCTATGTAGGCAGTAAAAGTAGTTTTATTTTGCTCAATTTATTCTTTTATTTTTAAATAACATGTAATCATTGATTGTGCAAAATAGGTCTAAAATGTGTATCATGAAAACTAAGGGGGGAATTTAGATTTTACGTTGATTTCTATTTTCTTTAAGGTGCGTTCACATTAGTGAAATTTATGCAAAATTCTGTGAGCAAAAAAAGCCCATTATTTATTGTCAATAATGTTGTGATGAATGAAGCATAACTCACATAAAAGTCACTCATACTTAGCTTTCTATTGGTCAATGAGGCGAATTTGTGTGATGAACTGAAACGCAAGCATTCACTAATCAATTAAGTAAATTTGCATTATCAATACATTGATAATGTAAACTTGTACATCAGAACATCAGGTTATAGCTTTCAGTTCCTGCAAGGGTCATGTGATGACAACACATCATATGATATTTTAAAAGTTAATTATTTTGTATATTGAGTGTAATAGAATAATGTTTAA